ACACACACACCACACTCACACACACTCACACATACACACACACACACACACACACACACACAGTAGAAAGCAGCCTGAGGCAGGAGAGCAATAACATCACTTCAGATTGCCATGACAGGTGCCACGGACACACACTTTGATGTAAATGACACCCCAGGAAGGCCTCAATTTGATCTCATTGCACAAGAGGACCCAGAGCGGGTGTCAGCTCTGAAACTGGGGGATCATTCATGTGTGGTTGTAGAGGTAAAGGTGAAAGAAGCACTCAGGGTAGACCCTACAAAGTCACGGCTGTGAAGGCCACGTTTCTCAACTCTCTCCTTTGATGAATAAGGAAAGTGGCATCTCACCCCTATCTGCTGCTCCCCACCTCCATGCTCTTTCTCATGCTTCTTCCCCACCCCCAGCTGAAACATCATTTTCAAATGTTTCTCTCCCTCCACTCCCCGACTGGACTAACTCTCATTCAGTCCTTTAAACTTGAGCCAGGGTGTTCTTAAGTCAGACAGCCATGAATTACGTCCTCCTCGGCTATCCCAAATGGTCACTGTACACATTAGGAAAAATCGCCCTTTTCTCTAGCCTCCTGTCTGCTGGGGGAAGGATGTTGTAATAATTATTATATAAAGCATACAGTGGCTCCAAGGTGAATGGCATCTCCTGGAACTGGCAGCACGAAGCCAGCCCAACCATAGTCGGGGCCATGTCTGAAGTCTCCGTTTTCGGTGATCTCATAACACCTCCTGCTTATCTGCAAGTGTCTGTCTCTCACCCTAGATTCTAAGCTAGAGAGAGAAAGAGAGAAATATCAGTGTTGAGAGAGAATCATTGATCAGCTGCCTCTGCAGGCCCCCTACTAGGGATTGAGCCCCCAACCCAGGCATGTGCCCTGACCAGGAATTGAACCGTGACCTCCTGGTTCATAGGTCGATGCTCAACCACTGAGCCACACCGGCTGGGCTGCAGTGACCTCTCTTTAATGAGTTTCCCAAGTGAAGAAATCTCTCTAAAGCAAAGCAGAGTCTCTGGGAGTCCTTCCCAAATTATAGATCCAGGAAATAGCACCGTATAGTCCCTGAGTCTGTAATAGAATCTTTTCTTTCCCACGCGGTGGATGAAAGAGAGGGCACAATGGCATGTCAGATAGGTTCTGCCATCAACAGTTCATCAGGTGCCCGTGATGACAATGAAACTAATGACCTGCCACATCTTCCCCCATTGACACTTCGGTTTTGCCTCCAACAATGCTCTCTAGCCAGCCAGTACTAATTTTTATTTCCCCGTGTCTTCTACTCAGAGGAGCTTTTTCGGAAGTTTTCCTGGTGAAGCAAAGGGTGACTGGGAAGCTCTTCGCCCTGAAGTGCATCAAGAAGTCACCGGCATTCCGGGACAGCAGCCTCGAGAATGAGATCGCTGTGCTGAAAAAGTGAGTGGGTCTTAGGGTTGGCTGAGTACAACTGTGGGGTCACAACATTTCCTTCACAAAGTACCTTCAAGAAGGTCTGGGGCTGGGTTGCTCCCAAAAGGCATTGCTCCCTTTGATTGAGCTAATGGTCAGTTTGATTAACCAGCTAAGTTTAGCCAAAAATATGTCTTGGCTGAATTTTTTCTCCAAGCCAATTGTCTAGTGAACCAACTAGTAGCAGAGCTGGTTTGTGCACACAGACCAGAGGATAATTATCTCAAAGAAACAAACTTCAATTGAAGGCCAACCCTAGGAAGAATTGATAATTAAAGAAGCAGTGTAAAACTTGGAAATTAACCTCAATTTGTTCCAAATCAAATGTAGGGTTAATACCCTAAGCATCATGATGGCGGCTATACTAATAAATCATAATGTTTACAGCAGGACTATTGCCGGAAACCCTTGTGGGATTCCTTTGGTGTGCAAAACGTGTAGTAGGCATCAGGACTAGAAGGATGAAGCCAACAAAATTCCTTACCCTCAGGAGCTCACATTTTCTAGGCAGAGACAGAGGTATTCATAACAAACTCTATTCCTGTTAGATGTGACTCACACTAGCAGAAGGCAGAGTTTGAAGGAGACAGGGATTCATTTTGCCTGCATGTGTTTTTTTTGTGAGTAAGGACTATTAGGTACATTTTCAAAGAAGAGGAATCTTGAAGGATGAGTAAAATTTAATGGAGGCAGGAGGGGCAATGCAGAAAGGGAATTCAGACTGAGAATAACATAAGCTTTAACGTAGAATCATGGAGCTGCAAGGGTTGTTGGGGAAGAGTTAAGTATGGAAGCTCCTGAACTTGCTATCAAGGGACAGAAGATGAAACCAAATAGTCAAGTGGGACCTGATTATAAAGGGTCTTGGCTGTCATGATACAGACTGTTGACTTTATTCTGTGGGCAAAGAAAAGTCATCAAATGATTTTAAGTAAGAAGTCACAATCAGATTTCTATTTAGAAATCCTGTCTTAAGCATGGAATGGAGAATGCCAGCCTAGAGGATTGGAGATCAATTACACGACTTTCTCAAGCGAAGAGGATACAAGCAAAGTAGTGGCAGGATCATGTAATGGCCAGAAGACCAAGGTTAGGAGGCATTTCAGAGATAGAAGTGATTGAGTTGGGGTTGACTGGTAAGATCATAAAAGAAAAAAGCATTAAAAATGACTCTGAGATTGAGTGATTAAGTGGACAGTTACATCATCCTTGGGATAGAAAGCAAAAAGGACATCTAGGCTTGGAGGAAATAGAAAGAGATTGATTGGAGCACGATGAATATATGTATCCACTTATCTCTACATGAAGGTATCTGGTAGGATGTTAGAGTTATAGCTCTGGGCTTCAGGGAGATTAAAGCAGAGAGAGCCAGGCTGGTGTGGCTCAGTGGTTGAGTATTGACCCATGAACCAGGTGGTTAGGGTTTGATTCCTGGTCCGGGCCCATGCCTGGGTTGCAGGCTTGATCCCCAGGAGGAGGTGTGCAGGAGGCAGCCGATCAATGATTCTCTCTCATCATTGATGTTTCTCTCTCTTCCTCTCTCTGAAATCAATAAAAATATTTGTTTAAAGCAGAGAGGGACTCTAGACTCATTGAAAGCAAGGTGGTCTTTGATATTATTGTATTGTATCATCAGTCCCTAACAGCACAGATACATAAACAGCCATAAACACTTGTTCAGTGAGTGAATCATCAACAAATTGATGTTAGTTTTGTCAGCTTGTATGTATAATTGAATCCATCAGATCACTGCTGCAAGAAGTCTATATTTTTAGAAATGTCTAAAAGATTATAGATATTATTAAGTACTAGAAGCCCTGTGCACGAAAATTGTGCACAGCTAGGGTCCCTAGGCCAATCGGGGCCTCCCTTCATTCCACGCCACCCCCTGGTGGTCAGTGCAGGTCATAGAGAGCAATAGAACTCCCGGTCTCCTGGTGGAACTCCTGTAGGGACACTTTGCATATTAGCCTTTTATATATATAGATGTGTTTACTATTCCCCAGGCACTGTACTAAGCATTTGACATGCATTTTTTAATACTTATATAACCCTATAAGACAGATCTTTGAAGATGAGGAAAGTGAGGCTTAGAAGAGTTGAATAAGCCAGTCAAAGTTACTCAATTAATAAATGCCTGAGCTAGATCTGAACTCTGACTTAGAGTCTAAGTTCTTAATCCCTGTGTTGCACAACCATGAGTCATACTTCCTAGAAATGTTCTTCCTGGACAGCCATGCACTGAATTGCTGATTGGAAAGCCAAGCCTGTAGATAATATGATTGTTCTGCTTGCCCCCACCTCTGAGTAATCCCAGCAAAGGTCATCCGGGGCAAGATTTCCCCACCTCAGCTCTATTGACATTTTCGACCAGATCATTCTTTGTTGTGTTGGAGCTGCCCTGTGCATTGTAGGATGTTTAGCAGCATTTCTGCTTCTAACCACTGAATGCCTGCAACATCTCTCCCGTCACCAGTCATAATAATCCTAAATGTCTTTAGCTATCGCCAGATGTCCTCTGAGGGACAAAACAGCCCCTGATTGAGAATCATTGACATCCTATAGAAATGAACCCCCCAAATGAGCATCTACCTTCTCACAATATCCTGGAGTCTATGGAATCCCATAGAAATGAACCCCCAAATGAGCATCTACCTTCTCACAATATCCTGGAACAAAAAGTTTGCAACACTTTCTCCACGGTTACCCATGAGGAGGCCTCGCTAGCCTAAGTCCCTCCTGTTGTAGTAGCCTTTCTTCATGCAATGTTTCTGAAAGAGACCTGGATACCCATGTTGTAGACTAGCCTAGTGGTCAATGCTCCCTTAACCTTCCTCAGGTCTTTTAAACTTTCTCTTTTAATAAGTTGGAATAGATCCTTAAAGTAAAAAATGAAATGTTTGTTCCCTAAAGGCAGGATGATCAATTATCCATTCAAAAATATGGACTGAGCACCACTCTGGGAATCTTTTTCCTGGGATTTCTTTGTGATGGCCTATGTGTTAGGAAGGCTTCATAAGGACCCTCTTTTCCTAAATATTGTCATCAAAAGTCTCCAACAGAAATAAGAGTCTCTAGTTGGGCTGGGTCAGCATCCTTTGTCTAGATGACCTAACCCACATGCCTTTCACCATGACCTTACTTTCCCCAGGATCAAGCATGAAAACATCGTGACCCTAGAGGACATCTATGAGAGCGCCACTCACTACTACCTGGTCATGCAGCTGTAAGTAAAGGTGACCTGGGGCCTCAGAGGCCTGGAGGAGGCTGGTTGGTGGTGAGGGAAGGATGGTGATTAAATGTCAAGAATTAGCTCAAGAGGATCTGAAATGCCAAGAGCCCTTTTAGGATCAGTATGCCTCTGGGTGTGGACATGTTCTTTATGGATCCGGGGATAAAGCTAGGGTTGATTATTGAGTTGGTACATACCAGCACAGCCTTACTAGTTGTTAAAAATATTTTCTACCAGTCAGTGAGTAGCTGTGACCCTAACCTATCCATCCTCCCTCCTGGCCCAGTCCCTTCCCTCTGGACCTCCCCACAACACTACAATTGAAGGGGTAATGCCTGGCAAAGTTGGGGCCTCCAAAACCCTTCTCTGGCCCCATGGCTTGTGTCCATTTTGACCAGTCATGATGAGCAAACTAGATATTAAATGTTTTAACATCACTCCAGGGTAAAATTACTATGGGAGTAGAAGCCACAGGTAGATAGATTTTAATTCAATATAGAGAAAGACTTGCTCAAAAGGGAGTCACCCAAAGTTAAAAACAGGCTATGATTCTGAGTGTGTTCATGTGTAGGACTGAAATGTTTCCTCTTTAGGAGGGTCTCACCATCACTGTCATATCCAAATAAGAGTTCTGCCTGAGGGTGGCTGCTGTAGGGTTGGTCAGTGCTCCCAAAGACTCAGCATTGGGCTCAGAGACACTCTAGTTATAAAGTACACACACACTCACACACACATGCTCATCACTGCAATTTCAGCATAACTGGATGCAATGTTTTTGGCTGACAGGCTAATTCCTCAGAAACTCTAATGAACTAACTCTGGCCTCAGCAGCCTATTAACCCCTGGGCTCACCTGAGACCCAGTGAATAGCAATAGCAAGCAGTCAAGGGAGTAAGATTGGGGGAGGGCCCAGAGCATCATAACAAGTGAGCAGGGACCATGTGACACCTCAGTGAAGCCAGAATTATCACACAGTCATTCAGATGGCTAACGAAGGCATGAGGGTGGGAAGATTCAGAAGTCACTGAAGAACCACCAAGCCTCCCAGAGCACCAGCCCCAGGACCCAGGATACTTTGAGTCAGGAGTTCTTAGTTGTGGACAAAGAGTAACTTTCTCTCATGGGCCTCCAGCTCCCATAACAGAGTCCAGAGCATCAGGACAGAAGCAGAAGGAGTAGGATGTCGTGCATTTTTATTGGAGAAATTCTACATCTTTAGTACTGCATGGTCTTCACATGGGTGCACAGCCACATCTTATGTCATGAGCAGTAGAAGGGGATTGGAGCCCCTGACTCGTGGTTGAAGTAGTCTGGGATATTTATCCCAGAGAAGGACTTAGAAAAGTATTCCAGTGCACATACCTGAAAAGATTCACATGATAGGATGTTGTTTTTGTTCTGTGTGGCCCTCATGGGCCCAATGGTGGCATTAATGTCTGTTGGTAGAAACTATAGGGTGTCGGTTCATCATAGAGCTAGAAATATTGAGGTGACAAAAGATGAGACCGTCTGTCTTAAAAGGTAGTGAGTTCTCTGCCACCGATGTGTCCAATACTTACTAGAAAACTTCTAGGCAAAAATAGTCTAGATGGTACTCAAGAGATGGGGGTCAGACTTGATCTTAAAACTCCCCTAAATCCTAAGATGCCATATACCATGTGAGCCTCAAACTACCCCTACAACTCCACCCCATACTTTCACCTTTAGGTGGCCCAATTTGACAAAATGAGGAAAGAATTCCCGACATAAGCACAGAATTCTCATTTGCACACCTCTCTGCCTAATTTCAGTTTCACTTCTCTCTTTCATCATTTCTTCTTCCCTGTGTCCTAGGCCTGGAGAGAAGGCAGATAAGAAATAATTCCCAGAAAGGAATTATTGGCTTCTTGGGAAACCCTGACTGGGTGCGTTTTACATTTCAAAGGATGTTTCCAGGGAGAGGTCAATGGTTGGCCCAAAGAAATGACTCCCTAGCGATATCATTCGAGGCACCTGAAGGAGGCATTCTGAGATTGGAGTGGCAGGTCCTCCTTGCAGAGTCAGGGGTACCTGTCTGTTTCGCCACAGCTGTGTCCCCATGACTACAGAGCAAACCCATTCAGATGACCTGAAATAAGAGCTGGATTCCTGCCTTTGCCCTGTGCCCACAGTGTTTCCGGTGGGGAGCTCTTTGACCGGATCCTGGAGCGGGGTGTCTACACAGAGAAGGACGCCAGCCTGGTGATCCAGCAGGTCTTGTCAGCTGTGAAATACCTCCACGAGAATGGAATCGTCCACAGAGACTTAAAGGTGCCAGGGTGGGCCCTCGTTTGCGGGGAGGGGGGAAGGGGAGGAGAGACAGAGAAATGATCCTTTAGGAAGGTGCAAGGGTCATGGGCAATGTGAGCTCTGTAAAATGGAGAGGGCTGGACTGGCTCACTCCTAAGGCCCTTTCTGCCTTTAGATTGAACAAATCTTGGATGAATGAGCAATCATTGTCAATTTGTACCTCAGCCTTTTTGCACCTTTCACCAGTCCTTACCTTATTTGGCTACCGAGATAATCCACAGGTTTCTGGGACCCAGCCACGGTCGTACTCAAATGTAACAAATACTTACTGAGGGTCAACATTGCACCAGGCATGTGCCAAACTTTGGAGAGGTCAGAGATAGTTAACCAAAGGTTAATTCCTTCAAAAAAACAGTCAGCGTACTCGGGAAGGAGGGGAGAGAGGGATTAGTACCTTAAAGGCTGTAAAGCTAAGCAAAGTCAAGGCCATAAGCAAAATACAGAACGATAAGGTACAGGAGTTGAGGGTGCGGGTAGGAGGCAGGAGAGACTGGGGGAGAAATGAGTCTGGCCTTGAAGTCAGGGGCCCAGGGTGCAGCTTCCTAAGAAATTATATATCAGGGAGGAGAAGAGATGTGTTTCAAATTGTGATATCCTGTACTACATGCCATTTCTCCTCACCCACAGCCTGAAAACCTGCTGTACCTCACCCCTGAAGAGAATTCCAAGATCATGATCACAGACTTTGGTCTGTCCAAGATGGAACAGAGTGGCGTCATGTCCACTGCCTGTGGGACCCCAGGCTATGTTGGTGAGTCTGGGAACAGGAGGGAGGATGACCAATTGGCTACATTTGACCACATAGATGTTATTCACCGAGAGGGACGTGAGTCACAGTTGTGAGGAGACAGGGTTCAATTTCAGGGATGATCCAAGTAGAACAATCACTCATGAGGTTCAGGGCCAGCCAATCCATTGATCTCTAAACAACCCTGGCTGCTCCCAAGCCTACACAGCCTACCCCAACTTCTGCCTTTGTCTTTCAGGCTATACAAGGAAGAGAGACACAGTCACAAACTCAGAAACCTTTAGACAGTGAAGGGTTGTCCACTAGCCCCCTTTCTTTTCTCCCACTTGAAAGGAAACCTCAGCCTCCAGTTGTTGATATCCTAGGGGCATAGGGCTGAGTTTGTATCTAAGGAACCCCCAAATCACGCCCTAGGAAACTGGCAGAAGTGGGGCCTCCTGCCTAAGTAGGAGGCTTCCAGAGCCCCCCAAAAAGTAAGAGCAGGTAAGATACCAGGTGAGAGCAATCCTGAGATTCCTGGGGGAGAAAGCCCAGACTCAGAGCACCCACTCCTGCCCCTTCCCTCTGAGCCAGTCCTCACCGGGTTGGGGTTAGGAAGTGGGAAGTGCAACCCTGACTCAACGGAGAGAATGGGCACTCTCCCTAAAAGAGAGGTTGGTACTTACTGTTAGGTATTTAGTCCCACTGGGCACAAAGCCCTGGTGTCTGTGATCAATACAGACGACAGATAAATGCCCCAGAGCTCCCAATCAGTGGAAGACATGGCTCATTCCCTCGTGGAGCTCACGATCTGATCAGGCAGACTAAGCCCAGACCTCAGAAGGCACCACAGACTGATGGGACAGGTACAGCCGGCCCTCGGGGAGTTCCTCACTTGACAGGGGAGACTCAGTCTCTACCTTCATGGAGATCCTGATCTAGTCAGAGTGAGACAGTCCCTAACATGCAGGTTTTTCCATAGCCCCTGCCCTGGGGATCCCCAATCTAAGTGGGGAGACACAGGACCTGCCTTCAGAAAGCACTCAGTCCAGTGGGTGACACATAGCCCTGAGATCTTCAGTCTGAACAGAGTCATAGGCCCTGTCCTGGGGACCTCCTAGTTCAATGGAAGAAGATTAGTCTGATGGGAAAGACAGTCCCTGCCCTAGGGGAGTTTGCAGCCGCTATAAATCCTCTTCTCTAAGCCTCTTCCTGACCTTCAGCCACGAACCCACAGCCCTCTCATCATGCCCCAACCTGCCTTCAGAAAGCACTCAGTCCAGTGGGTGACACATAGCCCTGAGATCTTCAGTCTGAACAGAGTCATAGGCCCTGTCCTGGGGACCTACTAGTTCGATGGAAGAAGATTAGTCTGATGGGAAAGACACAGTCCCTGCCCTAGGGGAGTTTGCAGCCACTATAAATCCTCTTCTCTAAGCCTCTTCCTGACCTTCAGCCACGAACCCACAGCCCTCTCATCATGCCCCAGCCTTGACTCTGCCTTTGGTTTGCAGCTCCGGAAGTGTTGGCCCAGAAACCCTACAGCAAAGCTGTGGATTGCTGGTCCATTGGCGTCATCACTTACATATTGTGAGTAGAAGCTGTCATTGGCTCAGTTCCTGGGAATTCTCAGATCCTGCTCACCTCCTCTTCTCCTGTCCTCTGTCTCAGCTCCTCAAGTGGCATCCACCTCCAAAGCATGTGCATATACATGTGCACGCACACACACACACACAGCTCCACCTGCCCTGGTGTCTACCAGGTAATAAAAACAGCTCAATAGGAATGCACTGTTCAGCCACCTGGTAGTCCGTCTTCCTGCCCCCTTTACTGCATGTGCTGAGTCCTGCTCTGTGGAATGAGCAGTGAAAAGGGGAGAGGCCAAGCGAAGCTCAGAAGCCACGTGGGCACAATGTTCACATCTAAGATTTTCCTCCTGGTGATGTCAGCCCAAGGCCAAGCGATGGCCTGGATAAACCTGGTCATTTCTCCTCCCCACACATTCCCAGGCTCTCCTTTCCAAACCTGCTCGCCACCCCTCCCGCTCCAGCCCTCCTCACCTGTAGCGAACTTTGCTCTTAGAAAAATAACCTACTGTTTGTTAGTTATTTACCACTTAATGTGGATTCAGTTCTCTATTTCCTTAGCTTATGTCGATAATGATTCTCATTCATTCATTTACTCAACAAATATTCACTGACTGTCTGCCCTGTGCCAATCACTGGTTTAGGTACTAAATAATAAAGAACAAAACAGCCTTTAAAATCCCTCATGAAGCTTACACTCAAGGATGGACATTCTACCATCCTTCTTAAAGAGATTTTATATCGCCCTAGCCGGTTTGGCTCAGTGGATAGAACGTCGGCCTGTGCACTGAAGGGTCCTGGGTTCAATTCCAGTCAAGGACACATACCTTGGTTGCAGGCTCCTCCCAGGCCTGGGCCTTGGCCATGGCTCATGCAGGAGGCAACCAATTGATGTGTTTCTCTCACATCAATGTTTCTCTCTGTCTTCCCCTGTCTCTTCTACTCTCTCTAATAATCAATGCAAAAATATCCTCGGGTGAGGATTTTTAAAAAATGGAGGGAAAAAAAGAAAAATATTTTATATCATCTGGGAGTCAGGGGAGGTACAGAGAGAGGTGGCAAGGGTTTGGGGGAAGAATGTCCAAAGGGGCCTTCCAGGGCTGCCTGTTCCAAGCTTTGGCTGCTGCAAAAACACTTGATGGGACCTGCACTGTTCCTGAGTCAGAGGCAGACCCCCGTCCTGGTCACGCTGCTGGGGGGACCCTTGTTGCCTGCCTGTGTGGCCGGTGGGAGGCTGGCCCGTGGGGAGAGGCAGCAGCGTGACCCTCCTATTCCACTGCAGGTTGTGTGGGTATCCTCCGTTCTACGAAGAAACTGAGTCTAAGCTTTTTGAGAAGATCAAAGAGGGCTACTATGAGTTTGAGTCTCCATTCTGGGATGACATTTCTGAGTCAGGTAAGGCCGGTGGGTGTGAATGACAAGATACCAGGCTCAAGGCAGAGGCTGCCGAGAGAAAAGAGCTTAACAAAGGATGACAGCGAGCTCTTGAAAGTCCCTGGGGAATCTTACAGAAAACAGGCTGCCAGGGAGGGTGGAGAAATCTTTATCTGGTTCAAAAGCCAAATATATTCTGCGCATCTAAGGTTCATGCCTGCGCTTTCCCCTGAGACAGAACCACAGCCTGCCTGGGAAAAGCAGGGAGGTAGTCCATGTGAGGGGCCAGGAGGTACAGCCAGGAGAGTCTTCCAGCAGGACTGGCAAAACCAAGGCCAAGTTTTGCCTTTTACACACCGAGACCAAGACCGTGCCATGTCCCTGTGTGTGAAAGGCTATCATTGCATGTTGTTGGACCCATTACATAGAGATCAGAGCTGGAGCTGGGAAAAGCCAGTGCTCACATGCGTACCCACGTGTGGGTGCTGGCCCCAGAATGGTGTAAATACACACGCTGGGGCCTCGTGACGAGAGGCGGACGTGCACTGCGACGTGGGTGAGGCTGAGGAGAGCCTCTCTTTGGTGCTTTATGGTGGGTTGTTCTTAGGTGGTTTGGAATTTTTTTTGAGTCTCTTTTTAAGACTCTTAAAATTGCCTCTTTGGAAGATTAGCTAAAAGATGCATTCACTGCCACCCACCAGCCGGAAGTGAATTTCCATCAGTCATGAAACCTGCTCCTTAGCCGCTGTGTCTTTGATTGCTCCTCTTAGCCAAGGACTTTATTTGCCACTTGCTGGAGAAAGACCCGAGTGAGCGGTACACCTGTGAGAAGGCCCTGAGGCACCCCTGGTGAGTGAGGACTGGGGTGGGCTCAATCTCCAACCCGTGGCTCCCCAGATTCCACGCTGACCGGTCCACATGGAGTGTGTCCCTGCAGTCTGCTTGCCCTGAGCTGTCCACTGTTGTGGCATCCGGGGAGCAAAGGCGTGTTCATCGGGTCCAGCCAGAGACGCACACAGCATTTCATTAAGTGGGGCTCAGACCCCAGGGTGGCGGCTGGGCCATCTAGTCAAGTGCTGAGGGCAGCAGCTAGGCTCTGTGTCAGCACTGGGGGCAACACTCAGTCCTAGTTACCCAAGAGGCAGCTCTGTCTATCCCTCAGAGCATCATTTAACTCTACTCTGTGGTCAAAACCTGCTCCAGACGAGGTGATCTGAGAATGATCACAATTCATGAAGGAGGTCAATAACGTCTTGGAACACCTTTTCTTCTTGCTACCCTCCTGCTCAAGAATTTACAACAGCTCCCTGTTTCCTACCGCAGCAATCCCAGAATCCTTTGTCTTTCCAGGTTTTCCCTAATCTGACCTGACCTCCAACTTTACTTCCCGGGATTCCCAACACGCCTTCTCTGCTCTGGAAAGGCCTATGAGCTATACTTCTGCCCCTGCCTTCCCCAGCCCCGTATACCAAGCTCTTTCTGAATTGCACGTTGGGTTATACCAGTGGCCAGCAAACTGTGGCTCGCAAGCCACATGCGGTTCTTTGGCCCCTTGAGTGTGGCTCTTCCACAAAATACCGACTTCTGCACATGGGCCACGAAGTTTCAATGGCACTGTACATGCACCCGCACGTGGTATTTTGTGGAAGAGCCACACTCAAGGGGCCAAAGAGCCACATGTGTCTCTCGAGCCGCGGTTTGCCGACCACTGGTATAACCCAAGGTGCAATTCGGAAAGAGCTTGGTATATGGGGCTGGGGAAGGCAGGGACAGAAGTATAGCTCATAGGCCTTTCCGGAGCAGAGAAGGCGTGTTGGGAATCCCGGGAAGTAAAGTGGGAGGTCAGGTCAGATTAGGGAAAACCTGGAAAGACAAAGGATTCTGGGATTGCTGCAGTAGGAAACAGGGAGCTGTTGTAAATTCTTGAGCAGGAGGGTAGCAAGAAGAAGGAACACTGGACGCGTGAATAGAGGCTGAGGGGACAGGAAAAGGGCCGCCTATATTGGGTGGCCTCACTGGGGAAGGTTTCCAGCAGGAGGAGGGTTCTGAGCAAATTTTGAGCTAATGGATGGTGACAACCCAAGTGCCTCTGACCCAGGGGTCAGTAAACTTTTTATATAAAAAGCCAGATAGCAAATAGTTTAGGCTTTGCTGGCCATGCCACCCTGTGGCAGCTCGTCAATCTGCCTTACTAGCACAGAAGCAGCCATAGCCCATCCCTGAATGAAGGGGCATGTCCGTGTCCCGGTAAGACTTTTTTTTACAAAAACGGCAATAGGTAGATTTGACCTACACACCGGAGTTTGCTGATCCTACTCCATCTAAGGCAAGTTTTGGTTTTGCCAAAGCACAGACCCCTGCAGACTTTCCCAGGGGACAGAGGAGCTCCGATTCCAGCCTTCCCTGCTGTGGGCCACCCTCTCCTTGGGCTCCTCTTGGTTTAACCTGGACCTATATGCACAGTCTCCTGGCTGAGTTCCCTTAGGCGTCCACTATCCAGGTGTCCCCTCTGCATCCACAGGATTAACGGGAACACAGCCCTCCACCGGGACATCTACCCCTCAGTCAGCCTTCAGATCCAGAAGAACTTTGCCAAGAGCAAGTGGAGGGTAAGTGGTCCTCCCAGGAGGCCGCAGGCTGCTCTGGGCCCCTGGAAGCTGGGCTGGGGCAGGGCTTTCCTTGAGGGTTCCTAGCAGATACTGGTACTCCCTAGACCCTCCCTCAACTGAGAAGTGGGCATTTTGGTTTCAAGAGGCCACAGGGCAGAGGGAAAGTGAGCCCTGTGGCCCTCTGAGACTGGAGATGGCCAAGGCCAGTCTTGCCTCCTTAGCAAGCCTTCAACGCAGCCACCGTGGTGCACCACATGAGGAAGCTGCACATGAACCTGCACAGTCCCGGCGTCCGCCCCGAGATGGAGAACAGGCCTCCCGTCACGAAAGCCTCAGAAGCTTCGAGACCCAGCTCCCCTGAGATCACCATTATCGAAGCCCCCGCCCTGGACCAGAGCGTGGCCCTCCCTGCCCTGACCCGGCTGCCCTGCCAGCATAGCCTCCGGCCCACAGCTCCTGGTGGCAGGTCCCTCAACTGCCTGATCAACGGCTCCCTCCGCATCAGCAGCAGCCTGGTGCCCATGCAGCACGGGCCCCTGGCGGTGGGGCCCTGTGGCTGCTGCGCCAGCTGCTTGAGCATCGGGAGCAAAGGGAAGTCCTCCTACTGCTCTGAGCCCTCACTCTTCAAAAAGGCCAACAAAAAGTACGTGTTTTATTTTTCTTTAAATATGGTTTTATTGGTGCTTAGAGAGAGAGAGGAAGGGAGAGGGATAGAGAGATAGAAACATTGATGAGAGAGAAACATCACTGATCGGCTGCCTCCTGCACGCCCCCTACTGGGGATTGAGCCTGCAAACCGGACATGTGCCCTTGCAGGGTATCGAACTGGTGACCTCTTGGTTCCTGGGTCAATGCTCAACCACTAAGCCACACCAGCCAGGCAAAAAGTATGTATTTTCACCCAAAGACAGAGGTCTTGCCCTACTCAGCCTGGGTCTGAAAGAACTCAGGCAACGAGCTAAAATAAATTGATGAAAGGATCTCTCCCACTCAAGGCAGCTCCATAGGGTGGGAAGAGCTCTGGATCAGGGGTCAAGGGAAATGCTGTCCTTCCCACCCACTAGCTGTGTGGCCATTAACAAATCAATGTCTCAGCCTCTATTTTGTTCATCTGTAAAATGGGTTCATTGAATTATATTTACCTGCTCAGCCTGCCTCACAGAGGCACTATAAAAGTTTGGTGAAGCAACAGGAATTATAAATGCCTGCAGAAACCTGGGTGTATGTGAATGAATGAGCATTACATTCCTTGAGTTTCTAGGGTCTCGGTGTTTTGGGGGGGAGGAAGGGGACTTGCTTGTCATTTGTCTTTTCTGCAAGTGCTTGTAATTTCTGAACCGCTGAGAGCAAGTATGTCAAACTCAAAGGCTAACACAGGCCAAATAAAGGAGGCATGCGGGCCAAGAGTTTGAAATGATTGGCCTAGAGCAGTGGTCAGCAAACTGCGGCTCTCGAGCCACATGCGGCTCTTTGGCCCCTTGACTGTGGCTCTTCCTAAGCCTTAGGAGTACCCTAATTAAGTTAATAACAATGTACCTATCTATATAGTTTAAGTTTAAAAAATTTATCTCTCAAAAGAAATTTCAATCGTTGTACTGTTGGTATTTGGCTCTGTTGACTAGTGAGTTTGCCGACCACTGGCCTAGAGGAAGGGCTGAGTGGATGCCACAGGCACTGAAAACTATCTGGGCTCTTCTTCCTGCATCAATGACATCATAGCCTGCTGCCCCACTTCCTCTCCAGGAACTTCAAGTCCGAGGTCCTGGTGCCCGTCAAAGCCAGTGGCAGCTCCCACTGCCGGGCGGGGCAGACTGGAGTCTGTCACATTATGTGATCCCGGTGTCACTGCAGCTTTCAGGTGAGGGGACTAGAGGCAGGAGGGCTGGGCGGGGAGCCTGGTGGGGGAGCTTCTATCCCAGGAGGAAAGCCCCATCCCAGAGTCTGAATAATGGGGTCTGAGGGGTGCCAGCAGGGCACCCCCACTCCACCCTGCACCCTTTCCTCTGCAGGAGAGATGGCCAACTCTTCTCTGCCCTTCCGAACCTGGGTCTACTCTGCAGCAGGAGGAGGGGAGCAAGCGGGGCAAGGCGTGGCAGGAGCAATTTCTGGTCAGAAGCAGCCAACTGCTTCCGCCTGGGGCAGCCCCTCACCGCAGGCCCAGGCGTGAGCCTCCAGCAACAAGGCCTCTGAAGCTGTGGGCAGGAGGAACGGCACCCGCCGGCTTCCAGGTCTCCCTGGCCTGCTGCTCTGTGCCCCGCTCCCCACGTGCCGTGGCTCTGTGCAGTGTGCGTAGGTAGCTCTTGCCCAGGTCTGTGTTGTTTGTCTTGAAAAGCTTAACAGGTTGGCCAGGCTGTGTCACCCTCAGAGCAAAGCCATAAGGAGCATCTACCCAGACTCCCCACACAGCACTCACTCGCTCCTGCCTCTCAGGCCTCCATCCCTGTGGCCAGGATGGGCTCACCAGTGTAGTCGCCTGCCCATCCCATCCGCATGAATGACGGGCAGCTGGGCGGTCTGCCTGTGCGCTCTCCAGGGAATTTCTAACTCCAGGATTGGCTCCTCACTGTGCCGAGACCCCCAGCCTACCCCAGCCCACTTCTGAGCCAGCTCCCTCCCCGCCCCAGTCCAAAGGCAATGCCACACCCTCCAAGATGATACAGGAAGAAAACCATGACTAAGTACTGTAAGGAGTAATATCCTGGCCAGATGCCCTCCGCACACACCCAATTAAGTAAAAACTGGAAGTTGACTGTTTTCATTGCAGCCAGTAAGTCTAACTCTGCCTCTGCTCCCTTCTCTCTCCCTGAGAGTCAGGCGTTCTTATCGCTCCCCACTTTTCTTGCCATCCGACCCCCTTTCGGCTTCATGCTCAGTGTTGTGCTCAATAAAATGGACATATTTTTCTCTATGAGGCTTCCTTTGGTTCTTTTTTAAAAAAAAAAAAAATTTTATTGATTTCAGAGAGGAAGGGAGAGGGAGAGAGATAGAAACATCAATGGTGAGAGAGAATCATTGATAGACTGCCTCCTGCATGCCCTCTACTGGGGACGGAGCCTGCAACCCAGTTTGATGCCCTGACTGGGAATCAAACTGTGACCTCCTGGTCCATAGATGGACCCTCAATCACTGAGCCATGCTGGGCAGGCTCCTTGGGTTCTTCTAAAGTCAGAAGCAGCTCGGGGACTTGTGAGCATGTGTGGAGAGGAAAGTGCATGGAGAGGTTGAGGCCAGGAAGGACCTAGCAAACATGGACCGGGAGCACGTGGTGTGTCAGGCACCTGGCGATGGGAGTTAACATACTGACCCATTGACTCCTCACAAGGACCCCTTGGAGCCCAGGTGGTCCAGCTGCAGCCTCCATGCTCCTAATGGCTGTATGAGAAGAGCATGAAGTTGAGGCCCAGCCCTGCCCTGCCACATCCATGACCCTGGGGAAGTGATGGAACCCTCCGTGTCACCTTGGTTTCCTCATTTGTCAGATGAGAACAACAGCGCCACCTACATCACGAAATAGTGCAGACCAGGTGTCCAGCCCAGTGTCAATAAATAATATGCCTAATAACGACCAAGATGTTCCTATAGATAAATGTCTAGCACGGTGCCTGGGCTATGGCAGCACACAAACCCTCAGGCCATTTCCATATCCACGCCCCATACACACACACACACACACATCCATTACAACTTCTCTTTGAGATCCCAAAACACAGAGGTTCTGGTCGTAATGCTGCTTCTAGAAGCCGTGTGAATGTGGACACCTTGCTTCCCTTCTCTGGATTTCTATTCTTCGTCTATAAACGTGAAATCAGGTCATTGTTTAAAGATGAAACAGCTCCTTGGGTCTCTAGAGGATGGAATCTGCCAGGCCCTGGCACAAAGGGGCTGGGTCCCCCTACGGTTGGGTGATGAGCAAGCTGGAGGAGCAGCGTGGGGCAGCCGACACCTCCTACACCACCAGGCCTGGGGAGGCAGACACACGTGATAAAGCGTCACTTTATGGGAGACAGACTATTTTCCTTCTTTGAACCTCCAGGCTCCTTTCCAAAGATTTTATTGGGCCTTTTCACGTGTACATCATTTGGGTTAAGTTTCTGTGTGGGTCCAGGATTCAGCCTCAATGGAGAATGAAGAGCGAGGACACTTCCCAGCCTAGCTCCCTCCATTTGAGAGCTCCTGGTCACAAAGGTATGGCTCATTCTGCCATTTCTGTCCCTCACATGTGGCTGTCCATCCGCTCAGCCTCAGCGGCGGCCCAGAGTAATATTAGCTGCACACCAGGGGTGGTCCAGGCGGTGCTTTCAGCTGCATAAAAGGAGCTGGAAAGCATTCCAAACCAGTCTGCTCCCCCCACCAAAAAAAAAAAGAGGGCAGATGCGTGGGGCCCGGGCTGGCAGCTGGAGCATCACTTGCAGGTGGCGTAGTAGAGCACCCGCTCATTGATGTGGTCGCGGATCTGCTCCACGTGCTTCTCCAGCCCTGTCAGGTCCGCGGAGCGAAGCATGATGGCCTGGCTCCCCTGCAGCAGCTCCGACTCCATGACTGAGGGCAGATGGAACAGCAGGGGGAGGAGGTGGGGCTGGGGAGACCCCCCAAAGACTCCCAACCCTTCCTTCCCCTCCCACCCACCTAGAGGCAGCACCTGCAGGAGAAATCACCTCTGGGGAGCTCCATGCCCCTCCAACCCTATCCCACTGTTGGAGAAACAAACAGGGCAGAGGCCAGACCCAGGAAGCCCCTGCCCCACTTATCCCATGGCCCCTACCCTTCTCCTCTGCTCCAGGCTCCCTGAGTTGTCCCAGCTAATGGGGGAGGCCACTGGCGCCAAGATTAGCACCTGCTGCGATTGGACCCAGAGAGCTGCCATCCCACCAATGAGCCTCAACTGGGCCCCATGGTGAAGAGCTGGCCGAGTGAGCAGAATTTCTCCCCAGAATGCCACTCCAGATAAATCTAGTCCTCCCCCTGCAGTCTGTTCTGCACACCACACCAGACTGTGCATGGAGGATCTGAAGGACTCCCAAGTGGCCTAGTCCGGCCTGTCTCTCCTGTCACCCTAGGCAGGAGACCCTCTACCACATTCATGAGAGCTGAGACCCGGTGGCAGCTGGACTTTTCCGGGAATAGGGAGGGAGTGCACTGCCTCCCTAGGCTCCAACGTTAGGCATCTCTAGTTGTTTAAAAAAAGACTAGTCACCCTAGCTGGTTTGGCTCAGTGGATAGAGCAGACTAAAAGGTCTTGGGTTTGATTCCGGTCAAGGGCACATTCCCAGGTTGCAGGCTCGATCCCTAGTGGGGGGCATGCAGGAGGCAGCCGATCAATGATTCTCTCTCATCATTGATGTTTCTGTCTCTCTCTCCCTCCCCCTTACTCTCTGAAGTCAATAAAAATATATTTTTTAAACATTAAAAAAGACTAGTCATTAAGCCAGAATCTGACCACTTCTTGCTTATACCCATCGTCCCAGGTCTATCTCCTGGGGGGTATAGGAATATATTTGCTCTGCCTCCAATAGTGCAGTCCTTCAAATGTCTGAGGCTCATCTTCTCTAGATTAAACCTCCTTAATTCCTTCATCTATTCCTCATTTGATGTAATCATAGAGCCCTTCTCTACCTCCGAACCCTGGCCACTCTCCCCCTGATGTTTGGTTTGTCGCTATCCTTTCTGAAGGTGTAGCAGCCACCACTGCACAGCACCCCCAGGTGAGATCCTATCAGCAGAGTGTGACAAGGCTGTTCCTGGGCCGACATTCAGCTGGGGAGCACTCATGTGGGCCTATGGGCTGATAAAATATTGAAATTTTAACAGCTGCTGTCCTATTCCCAGTTCCCATCCTTAGGGCCCCTATGCATGATCATCCTATGATCTTGTAATTAAAGGTAAATTCCTGCAAGCAGCTAAATGGCTGTCCCAAGGCTACAACTTGAGCTTTTTCTGATTGGCAAGTGCATGACACACTTACATAGTTTCTAAATATTTTTAATATCATCCCTGAGCCAGTATTTATTTGGGCTGTTTTATATGTATTCGCTCTTTGCCGGTAACAATGCATGGCTGACTTATATCAAGGTTACAGCTACTCAACACTCAAGTCATTTTCAGGTGAGTAACAACTCACACTTGCTTGTCACTTACTGGTTAATAGAGTGTTTTCACTACATTAGCCACTGAGAAGCCAGGCCTCACCTGCGCTGTACTTGTGGGTTTAGGCCCAAATGAGGCCAGAGGGGAAGATAACTTTTCTCCTTATTTAATTTCATAGTGTTTCAGCCCATCCTTTTAGACGTCTGAGATTTCCTAAGATACTGGTTCTCTTATCCAGTGTATTAACTACCTGTTGTACACAGATTTGATTAGCATATTCTTTATCTTCCTATGAAACATCAATGGGCAAGACCAGGCACCCACTGACCCAGCCCCTGGCTCCTCCATCAAGGTCAATTCCTCTCACCTCAGCCTAAGATCTGGCTGATCACATCTACTTACTGTTGACCCAACAGCCCAACCTTCTCCATAGAATCCACCTGGTTAGCCAGACAGATTTTTGTCTGTTGCTCTGAAATTCAGAGAAACTGTTTGAGGCATGCGCTGGCACACCAGTGCAGCGACCCCATCACCATCACATCTTACGGACAGAGCCTGGTCCCTGGAAATCCCAGTCCTCCTTTCTGACACACTCAGAACCCTTTCGGAAGCTCCTTTCATTACGCCTCTGCCGTATTTGAAACCCTTGAAAGGTCCCCTGCAGCCTCCAGGGCTGAGTCTGCCTCCATCCTGGCATGGAGGCCAGGCGCACAGACCCTGCTACTTCTCTCTATCCCACTCTGAGCCTCATCGGCCCTCCTCTCCTGCTGGGTGATCCTGCCCCATCTTCAGAACATGCCTCATCCTTCCCGCCCACCCTGTCTTGAGATCCCTCCCTTCCTCACAGCCTCTCCCATGTTTACACATCTTTCAGGCCCATGTCTAATCTTATCTTCTCTGAACATCCCTTACTGAACATTTCTCTGACATTGTTTAGTCTCTGAATCCCCAGACCTCTTATTATTTGGGATCCTGTCATAGACCCCCTTATGCTATTAAATACAGTGCCATGCACCTCGTGAATAATAGGGAAAACGGTTACATCTGGATTGCAAGCTTCTTGAAAACAGGCCACGCTGTGTGAACACCTACATTCCCCACAGCCCCACTGTTGTGGCCCATACTTACTATAGGCTCAGGAACTTGAAAATGGCCCCGCCCTTAGCACCGAGAGCTCCAACAAGACTGAGCCTCAGAAGCCCTGGGGTGGGACCAGCCCTCACCTCTCATCCTGTCCATCATCTTCATGGTTTCCCCAAACAGCTCCTCTGCGTCCATCTTGACTTTCAGGATGCGGTTGCCCTGCTCCCCCAGAGCAGGGCTCTGACCCAACCGTTCCTTCAGCTCCGCATATTTTCTCTTTATTCTCTCAAATCCCTGAAAAAGGTAGAACAGTCTCTGTCACCATCATCATCATCCAAAGTCCAAAAGACCTTTGGCTAGGGCACGTGATGTCACCCAAATCAACACCGAGGGATACGGCACCACCTAATATCCCCAGTGGATTGGTTTTGCCTATTTAAAAAAACCAATCTAGGCCATAAACGATCTTAAACTTCTTCTGCATGTCCCTCCCTTCATCTATAGTCCCTGTCATTTCCCACTCACCTCCAGCACAGTGTCGGGCATATCATTGTCCCTTAGCAGTATTTGACAGCTTGGCCATTGTACCAGGACTAAGTACTAATGTCCCTGGTACACTGAGAACATTGAGAATAGCTCTTTGATCTTCTCTCTGGTCTAATACTGGCCAGAGAGAGAGAGAGGGAGCTCTCAGGTTAGGCTAAGTCAAGAGTGTGTCCGGGCTGGGCAGCCATGACAGGG